GCACATTTACGACAGTGCACTTTTACTTTCGCCCTCTGGGGGGAGCCTCGCTGGAAAATCAACACCGGTTGCATAGTATACCTTTAACTGTAAAACTGCTCATTCCATTGGCATCGTCTTATTAACCAGCTCTCATTGAGGGTAAATATATTTAATTTAACACATTTTACTCATTTTTAGATTTTTTTTCTGCAGTGTATCCATCCACAGTTTACCTTAACCTCAGTGACAAGGTCATTGAGGTAACATCTTACCTTTTTATTTGAAAAATACACACGTTCTAACACACACACACACATGTTGTAACTGTTGAAACGAGGAAAGAGACCTTACAGCTGATGCTGTCAAAGATTTGCCTCTTACCTGGGAAACCTGCCTCATTAACTCCCTCCATGTTTTATCCACGGTTTTGAAGCTGAGTCCCTCCTCTGGCATCTGCCCCATGATGTCTGGGGAGCTAAAGATGGGCTCCAGGCAGAGCCAGTTGGTCTGCATCTTTAACCACTCGTCCAGGATCTCCTGCAGGAGCAGCAGCTTGGCCTCCCACTCTCTGAAAAAACAAACAGAAAGCAGCAGTAACATGAAACCCGAAGCTCTGCACCAGATTCATTCTGCTCAGAAGCCGTACTGGCAGATCATAGAACGGTAACCAAAACCTTTGAAAACCCTTTTTGTTTCTCACCGTATCTTCTCCTCAAAAGGCTTGTTGAAAGGCGAGCCCTTCATGGTTTGTGTTTTCACAGTTTGATCATCCATTAGCAGCTGGATCTCCTCCACAGAGGACAGGATGAAGGTCCCTGTTTCTCGATGCGCCATCAGGCTGAACTTCATGTCACGCCACTCGCTGTACATCTTCTCCAGGGCCTTCTCCAGAGAGTGCTCCTTGCTGGCCAACTCGCTGATGCTGTTAAAGCTGCTCAGATGTGTCTCCAGCCCCCTGTCCAGGTACTGAGCCACGCATGTCTTCTCATTGACGGGGTGCAGAGGAAACCCAACCAGCTCGGACATGGCGTCCCAGTGGCGCGTGCGTAGGCCTGGGTTGCACAACACCTACAAACCCCAGATATTCCCAACAACATTGATTTTAAACTATTAGTGAACAAGAAAAGCAGGATAGGGTTTTATTAGACTCCTGATCTTTACCTGCACCATGGGAACGAGCTCCTTAAAGCCCTCCACTTTAGCCTTCACAGTGGTGGCCATCCTCAGGGCATTGGGCGCCTCACTGAAGCTTTTCTCCAGCTTGTATAAAGTCCGCCAGTGGTTTTCAATGTCAGCTTCCACCTGCAGATGCAGAACTATATTTTCCTTATTCCTATTAAAATGATTTATATCTAAAGCATGAAAAGGATTGTATTTTTAACCTGGTACCACGTTACTGTAACTGTAAATGGATGGCACAAGATATGGGATTTAAAGTCAAATGGTCGTTTAGACACAAGACTTTAAGTTCAGATTCATAATAATAATAAATTTTAGTATTGTTGAGAGATTTTTATGCGAGTATTACAAGGAATATTTGCTACACTGTAAAAACGATCTAGAACGAAGTAAAAACTTCTTAAATTAAGTATATTTAGCATTCCGTAAAAATTCAAAAAAATATCCACTGGACTTGGTTTTCAAGATTTGAAGACGTTTCGCCACCTCTCCAGGAAGCTTTCTCAATTATATTTCAAGTATATTTAGCCTTAGTTTTAGTAGGTAAATCAATGCCAATGGAATGAGTATGTTTACTCTTCAAATAAGAAAATTAGATAATATTCACTTGAAATAAGACAATGCAGTTACTTTTTCTTTCTTTTAAGTGTAAATTGTCTTATTCCATTGGCAAAGAGTATGGAAGTAAATCTGTGTCGCTGGGATTTGAATTAAAAATGCCACTGAAATTTAAATGTTGTATGTTTGTACTTACTGTTTCAGTGTTAAAATATATTCAGAACACACTTTTGACCTAAAAAAAAATTCAGTGTCATTATTTCTACACTGTTGAAATTTCATTTATTTTCTCTTCAAGCTAAAAATTCACATTACTATTTCAAAATGGTTACATTTTCAATACTTATTTTTCAGTTAAATTTTTCAGTGTTAAAAAAATCTGCATATAAAAAAATTCAACCTTTCAAAATTCAAACTCAATATTTTCAGCCTCCTGAGATTCAGCTGGCTCTATTTCACTGTCTTAAATTCGGCGTCTAAATTCACTGTGAAAAGGGAAGGGTTACTTCAGGTCACAGACATTAGCAATGGATTGTGGCGTCCAACACCCAGCCAATCCCGTTACGTTTTCTTAGTCACGTGACGTGACGCGTGTGGCGCTCATACGGAAGGAAAACCAGCATGATTGAGCCGGTCATGCAAGCTAACGCTAACTCATTGGTGAGTTTATTACTTTCATTTTCTGTGGTTGAGTTAGCGTCACGTCTCACTTACCTCCTCAATTCAAGAAAAAATGCACTTATGTTAAGAACAAAAATGACTTATTGAGATTTCATTTTTTGCAGTGTATTTATATCTTAAATATTATATGGAAAAACATTAGAGAAACATTTGAAAAATGCAAAAGTTGAACCATGTCAGATATTTTAGATTTTGATTGAGATTTTTGCCTGAAAGTAGCTTGGTTTATTTTATGGTCACATAAAAAAAAAAAGCATGACCAATATATTTGCATGCAATTGGGGGAACTAGAAATGAATAAAGAAAATATATGAACTTATAAATCGAGCTAACTTGACAGAGAACATATTTTTTTAAAAGAACCGGAGCAAACAGATCTGTGGGATGATCCACTGGTTTCTTTTCTATTCTAATTCATTCTCTGACTGGTTTCCTCAGGTTTCAGCAGGTTTTTAGTACACTGATGAGCCAGTGCTGGCTGCTCTGCTGTATTTAATGGTTGCTATGGTGCTGCTGCTGCTGGGAGGAACAAGAAATGGTTGCTTAGGTGAGCAGTTTCCTAATCAAAGCTTTAACAAAGACAGTGGCGCATGGTGGGAGGGAGGAATGTTTCTGTTTGAGCCATGGCAATCCGTCCGTCCGTCTATCCGTCCATCATGGTGCATTGTGTCACTTTTCTTCTATTAACTTTTATACTTGTTGTCTAGATTTTCACCACATTTCAAATAAAAAACATCTTGTTTTTAGGATTTACCAGTAAAAAGGGTTGCAAAAACAACCAAAATGCCATTTTCAGAAATAAATCAATGTTGATGCCAGGTATTAATTGTTGTGATGGACTCTTTACCTGGTTTAATCTGTGACTTAACTTCCTTCCAGCAAAAGTTTAAGTCAAAGTAAGTAATTTTTTCTTGAAATAAGTGTATTTTCTCTTAACTTGAGCAGCGAAGTACAATTTGCCAAAGTGATAATATGATTTACAATTGAAAAAAGAAAAGAAAAAACTCCACCATTTTGTATCAAGTGCATAATATAAAATTATTATGATCTTGGTTCAATTGGCAGCTCATCTAATCCACCTGATGAAATTCAGGACAAATAGATCTATTCTACAATATCATTACTTACTTTTAGATCGTTTCATTGCCACAGCAGGACTCAGGCTGCAGTCCAGCCACCAATTTAACCTCCTGACATCACTTTATATGTGAGCATTTTGCAGAGTTAATATTTCTGCAGATGTTTGTGAGAACAAATCAATGCAAACTGGATCATAAAGTGACTTAAAGAAGCAGAGCCAAGATAGTTGTGTTTGATTTGAAATAAGCTTCCTGGTTTAACTGCTGATGGTTTTAATGAGTTTAACTGAATGCTAGTTCTCACTGAACATACTGAATGGCTAGCATTGTTAGCTCCCAGCTATCGTTCCTTTGTTTCAGCTGGACCCGTCCGGACCAGACCCCCTGGGACCAGCTAAGCTAACCCATTTCTCTTTCAGCCTAATCACAGTTTAATGCATTCCTGAGTCATTATTCATTTTTCAATATAAAAACCAAATAAAACTTCACTGTTTTGAATGCATTAAACATCTCTGCATCAGGGTTTATTCATATTTATCTGCTGCTGTTTTAAAGAACACTTTCC